AGTTTGGTTGTGTCACTATTTCTGTTATTCAAACCAGTCAAAATTGCTGCAAGGCAAAACTTGATATGAAGCTACCTGAGTCAGGAACTAAATAAACTAACCAGGAACCAGGTACTTTCTTTGGTGTTTGTATTACAAATTAATACAAAAGTCAATTTTAAAGTATTGTTGGGCTGATTCCTATTTTTTTCACTGCTTTTCTTTGTATGAGAAGTAAAAACCAAAGTTTCATTAATTTCTTCTGAGAAAATCTGCATGTCTTCGATTTTGGTTTCTGATAGTTGTCTTTAGAAGTGAGCTAATCAATAGTGTGTCCTGAGGGACGACTAGGCTAAACAGCTCTTGAAGTAAGCAGAAAAAAAAAAAGATAGCTACAGTGCAGATGAAGTTATATAAGGTTAGCATCGTTTTAAGAGTTGTACAATGTAAAAATTGAGTGTAAATTCAATTTTTGGAGTCAGGTTTAATTTTATTGGGAAAACTAGAAAAATAAAAAAGTATCTTGTAGTTTATCTTGTACAATTTTAAAACAAAATAAACACAACAGTATTTACTTTCACATACTGGGTTAAAAAAATCTGTTTACAAGTGGCAAAAAGCCCAAACAAGTACACAGTGTATGAGTATAAAATGGAAATGGCTAGAATGCAACATGAATACCTAAGTACCTAGAAGCTGAGGAGCAAAGCATAAATCAGATTTGAGTGAGGTTAATTAGGGGGGTTGCATTTCTGTGTGTACATGCTGTTCTTTTGGCAACACTGAACTATATAACACTCCAGGAGAGCCCGAGAGATGCAGACTTTGCAGATATGCTATGACATCTCACCACCAGAGGACAGACATTATTAGATAATTTCACCCTACTCTGGGAGCATAGAAACTGAAATGTCAACACTTCTGAAATCAACTCTTGATTATCCACATTCACAGAAGGAAAGAGCAAAGGCACTCATAATCCAAAACAGTAGATAAATGGAAAGATGACTGAGTTGGCTTTGGAATGTATTTATTATTGAATATAGGCCTATTTAATGTTCAAGGAACTCACAAGTTGACTATAAGCATTATAGTCATGAGGTGTTAGAAACCTTCTCTAGGAGTTAGAATTCTTTCACTACTTGTTTAGGGCAGCTGAAAGCATGAAAGTCATAATTTCAAAGACTTTCTTAGGTGGTGACTAAAGTTCTATGGGTTCTACTAGACACCCTATAACTACAAAATACAGTTTTGGAATTTGGCATAAAGCATGGCATGAATAATCCGGTTCACAGATGAGAATACTGAAAAGCAATTTTCAAAAATTCAACTGCACACTGTTAATTTCCTGTCAAATGCTGCAAATTATCTCGTTTGTTGTTTCACTTTTTAACCTTAATTTTTTTCATTGCCCCTCTACTCCTTTCAGTAAATTCAGCCTTATTTTCATCTATGCTTTTTCGCACAATTTCTTCCTTTCTCTCCCAAGTTCCACTGCTTCATTTCATGAGCTGTCTTCTGAACCTGCTCTAGATGTTCTCATTGGAAGTTCTTGTCCATGAATATTTCAGATAAGATCTCATCACTTTCCTCCATTCCATGCTAAGTCAAGGAAACCCACACTGATGAACTTTGCAACTGAGTTTGTGCCAAGTGCAGCTGGATGAAAATCATAAGCTTCCAGGGCAGAATTAAAGACGTTAGGTACTCCTTGCTTCTAATGCCAATGACACTGGATCCTTTCATAAACCTACTTCACCATCTATACCCAAACATCACAACCATCAAAGAATGAGCCAAGAGCCCTCCAAGTGCATTTATTTGACTATGATTCCCATGTATATTGAATTTGTGCAGTGTAATGGGAAAGAGCATGTGCTTCAGTCAAGACAAATTAGATTGTGATCCTAGTCCCACCACTTAATAGCTATGCCACGTTGGCAAATTTCCTAAATTCCTCTGAGCCTTTGTTTCTTCACCTGTAAAATGGGGACAACAATAGTGCCAATCTTTTAGGGTGCTATGAAAATTGAAAGATAATGTAGATAGGAAGCTTGGCACAAGGTACTTAACAAGTATTAGGTATTATTAAAATATTTTAGATTTATGAAAATGAACTGATTCTAATTTCTTGGTCTTTAGCAGTATAGCTTAGATGTCTCTATTGAAGCAGTAAGTCAATGCGATTTTTCTTTTGTCAAAATCACATTTTCCACTGTTGATTTAATTTTCCAGGGGCATTTTCTTCCTCAAAGCTGAGGTACGAATTTGAAATTTTGGGCTAACATCTAGCTGGAGTGATTATATCCAGCCAATGTGAAATTACTCACTCTTAATGATAGAGACTGCATATCTATAGCTATATAATAACCTGTTCAGACTCAAATGTTGACCAGTGCTGCTAGGCACTGCTGAATAGAGCAGAGGGGAAGGGTTATTTATGGCAGGAAGAGGAATGAACAGTATTTAATGAACTTGCATTTCAATTGCACAGAATTTTTAATAATTTTTTTCCAGAAAAGCTTTTTATAAATTCTTTTGCTCAGCAACAATAAAAAAAGGAAAAAGAGCACTCAGCTGGGAACAATAGCTACTCAGCTCATAAAAATCATTAGAAGGAACATTCCCTTTGTCTACCATGCCTAGCAATTTCACTGGTAGGCAATAATCCAGATCACTTAGATTCCACCTAAAAAAGAAAAAATGAGTTCAGAAAACCTTCTCAACTTTTCCAACTAGTAAATTATTCTAACAAAAATTCTAATTTCCTAATGTATAACTCTACCATAAATGAAATACTAGCTCATAATTCATGGAATATTTTTTGACAAGTACATGATAGTGATCTAGAGTTAATGGGATATGCTCTTTGGATTGCCTTTCCATTAGGACAGAGGCACGATCCTGATGCATTTACTCACTGCCATCAAACCCACTGTGTAGCAAGAGGCCTTATTCCAGGAGGCGACTGCCGAGCAAGGTGCAGAGTGCCCATGAATAGCGTGTTCCCACTGTGTAAAATGAGCTGGCCAACTTGGATATTTAACTTCTCACCACAGCCTCTGTAGCTCATCCTAAGGGGGCTGAGTCAGAGAAACTTCACATTTTTGACATTAAGGGCCTGGATAATTCATCTTCTCCCAACTACCTTAAGCTAATTGCCAAATGTGTTTAAAGATATGTCAAAAACTTTTCTAAGTTCGAGGTTTCCCATGACAACCAAAGTATTTCTGTACTTGGATAAATGTTATTTCTAATGACCCTGCTGGGTAATAAGCATGCATTTCTTAATTCAAAAATATCAAGGAAAAAAAAAGTTCTTTATGTTTCAGAATCTTTTTTTCTATTTGGTTTGAGCATACTATACATTTTAAGAAAAAAATTATTTTTTATCTTTACTGCATGATGTAGCAAATGCACAGTATTTGCTGAATGACTAAAATGCATTTCAAACCAAATAAGGAAATGGTCTAAGGACTAAATGAAACAATGTCTTCCACAATTGGCACTTTTTTCCTTAGTAGCTTCTCTCCACTTTTGACTTTATGCTGGAGATTGGCACCATTAATTGTGGTCTAAATGGCATTCTGGGTTCCCCTTTAATTAACTGTCCATTTGACTTATACTTTCTCTGGAATCTGAGAAGTAACTGTTTTGGTTTTAACGGTCTTTCTGGCTCCCTCAGATTGTATCTAAGATATAAGAATAAACAGAAGCTGCAAAGTCAACAAAGAACTTAACTAAGTAAAACATGCAATGACAGCAAATGTGGAAAAACAATCTTTATTAAAGATAGGTAACCATTCAAATAAGCTGTTTCAGATAACGAGGAGCTGAGGGTGAGTTGCTGTTTAAGATCCAGTTTTATAGAGACATTGCCATTTAGAGAATGACTGGTGAATTAATATGTACCTAAAATAGCAGTCATATCATCTGAAACCTCTTCAGCTAGTTGTACTTAAATTCCACATTCCTGAGTTGTTGTGTTTTTTTTTTTAACAATGCCTTAGGTGATACGACTGGGATGGGGGAAACCCAAATCCTGCCCTGCTACATAATCAAGATGACCCCTAATTATTTCACAATCCTCTACATCCTCTCCATTTGAAATCTAGGAAGGCTCTAGAACATCAGAAGACCTAACAGTGTTCAGACCCAGGCTGAGATTGCAGCTTCCACTCCCTCTCTCTTTGGACTACTTTCTCTGTAACCCAGCTACCATCGTGTGACGACACTTTAATAGCCTCTGGAGAGGACTCTGTGGAGAGGAACTGAGGCTGCTAGCCAAGAGCCAGTACTAACATAAAATGGCTCTTCCTGCCCCAGTCGAGGCTGCATAAAATAGAGATGAGCTATACCCACCATGTGCTCCCAAATTGCAGATTCAAGAGTAAGATAAATGATTACTGCAACACACCTCAAACTTTAATTCAAAGTATTCTAAGATTTAAATTTCAAGGAACAGTGAAAGAAGTAATAATTATATATTTTGAGCATATGCTATGTAACTACATGCTTTACACATCCTTATTCCCTACAACAACCTTATTAGAATATTTATTTCCTCTATTTATAGATGAGGCAATTAAAGATATTGCCCAAAATTATGTAAAAGGAGGGTAATGCTCAAAACCAGATCTAACTCCAAGGCACACGCTTAGCAGGAAAATAGGAATGAAAGAAATTCCAAGATAATGCTAGGGACTCCAATCCTCAAATATACAGTATGAATTAGAAAATGTGTCAATTAAAAGGTATATCCTGATGGTGACCCAATATTGGCATAATTTTCAAAATTAGTGCTAACAGTTTTTCAAGTATAGTATTCAGAAAACATTTTCTAAGTATTTATAACTTTATGATGTCTGCTAAGTATAAGTGCTCTACACAAGAGAGGTTACAAAGATGAATGACATCATTTTTGCTCTAAAGGTTCTTATACTTTAGTGAAGAAATAAGGCAGGTTACACATAGTAGCAAGATATAAGTACGGGAAAATGAGGAATAAAGTGGTATGGGAATTTATTCATTCATTCAACAAGTATTTATTGGGTGTCAATGTAGCAGTAAACAAGACAGATATGGTTCCTTCTCCCGGAGAGTTGATTCACTTTACTTTTACTGGAAGCACAAGAAAAGGAGGGATACATTTTAGCTTGACCTTCAATGATCTCTACACTCTGAGCACGTGAAGATCTGAGGATCAAAAGGGCATCTGGGGTACTGAGATAATGGGGTACTGAGATAATGGTGAGCAGAAAACTGAAACCCACTAAAGCACAATAAAATTAGGACATGCATGGAGACTTTAAAGCAAGAACAATATTTTGCTAACTCTAACATTCAATCAATTTTAAACTAGGACATTATTTTATGTGTCCAAAGAAAAAACTAAACATTTACAGCATAGCTCTCAACCGGGGACAATTCTGCCTTCCAACGGACATTTGGCAATGTCTGTAAACATTTTTAGTTGTCACAAGTGAGGGTGTGCCACTGGTCTTTAGTAAGTACAGGCATGCATGTTGCCAATCATCCTATACCGCATAGGAGAGCTGGCACAAAAAGGAATTATTCAACTCAGTACTGATAATATTGCCAACATTGAAAACTCCCGAACTAAGGGAAACAATAAACTGAAAGATGCATCTAGAATATTAAAAAGTATTTTAAGATAAGTGAAATAAGTTCAGTTTACCTGGGATGAACCCAGAAATTGTAAAGCAGTACTGGAAAATAATGCTGGTACTCTGTATCTGAATCTGTTTTCTCACCTTTGAAATAGTAAAGTGATGAGGACCAAAGGTTGTTTTGAGAAAATCATTGAATCACTCTATTACAGTAATTAATACCGCATTTCTGCTATTCTGACAGCTCTCAGAAGAGACACACTGACTCACTGAGCACGTGCTGTCTACTGTTGTGAAAGCTCAGCTCTGTGCCACATAACCCTATGAGGCTCCCCCATGCTCTCAACTCAAAATATTCCTTTCTTCTTCTGAACTTCTTTAGTATCTATATATCTCTATTAGTATTTTTGTGATTTATCTTTCTTTTAAATTTAAGTTCCTTTGGGTAAGGATCCATAACTGGTTCACACTTATACCTCTCAGAGGGGCCACTATAGCATCTTACACATTTGAAGTGGTCAATTAATATTTGGAATGAATAATTGAATAAATATATAGTACTGGAAGACTGTAATTAAATACAAACTCCTCAGACTTCTCATAGCTCTTTTCAGCCTTTGATCACAGGGCTCATTTTGTAAATCTTTAAACATTTTAGTGGCTCTCCAAGTTCTCATGCTTTAGCTATAGGGTTTCAGAGAGAGCAGAGTTCAAGGAGTCCTAACCACTACTTTAGAAAATACAATTTTGTAAATTCCATTAAATTTCAGATCATTTCCCCATGGGATGGCAGTCATTGTTTGTTTGGTCTCAACACATTTAAAGCCCCTCACATAGGCAACATTCTAAATTCTTCCAAGGAAACAGGGACAATGTGAGTATAAAGATGGGGTGGGGGACAAAAGTAGGCTTACAGTTCTTCATATGGAAAAGACATGCAGGTTCTGATTTATTACAACAGCTTTATTAACTTAAAAGAATGTCACAATGCAACTGTAAACCTACTTTTCTCACCCCTGTATAGGCAGTGAAAATATTTCTACTCATTGCTCACAAACACAAATTACAGTACTGATGATCATACTTTTTGGATACTTTTATGTCAGGGAGGAGTGTGGAGGACTTAAAACTAACAGAGCAGAAATATTAAAAGGTATGACTATAATGGAGAAAGTAAGAAAATAAGAAAAAAATCAGTTATAAAATTTAAGGTATTCCTTTAAAAGACAGTAAGACAGATTATTAATCTTTTATTATTACGCCACTTAACAGTGGAATAAATTATTATTTATCATTAGTACATGTATGAAAATTGTGACGTTGGTGGTTTTGATTCAATTTGCTGGACTTTGTTTTTAACCCTGCTGCTTTTTCCCTTCAGAGTAGTCCTTGAGTATTAATCAGTGTTTGGTGGTTTCTTCTAGCAAGTCTTTTGCTTCATTTATTTTGGTTGCTAAGTATGGTGATCCACCTGAGAACAAAGACAAATAAGTAGGTTAAAACACACTTTACTACTGACATTTTTAAAAGTCTCAAAGTAAAACTCTCTTAATTACAATTATCTGATATTTTCACACACATTTATCCTCAAACATTTCACTGATCAGATATTACCATTCAAATGTTTAACCAGTAAATTTTCTGAAATGAAGTAGATGGTTAGGTGAATAAAGTAACGGTCGTTCTCCAGAACATTTTCTAAGAGGGAAGACTATCTTTGAAGGATGTCCTTCTGAAGGAAGTAAATAAATCCAAGGGCACTTTCAGAGTCTAATCAAATCATTTAATTTCACAAAAATAAAATACATGTTATAAAGGCAACTACGTACTTCCCAGTTTTAAAATTCATATTTACTAATACAGATGAACAAACTAACAAATGAATGATAATAAAAATGTTAAAATTCTCCTTGTCCTCTGAAGTGAACCTATTAAAATGTCTATGAAATAATCTTATATTCACTGTGTCCTAAAATAAAATCAAGCCAGTTCTTTCTTAAGAGTTCTTTGAAATGAATTCTTTCTAATGCAAACCACAAGAGAAAAACTGAGGTGAATTTCAAATTCAGAATCATTATATATCACAAACAGAACCTATTTGACATGCAAAAATATTAGGCCCGCATTGTCACATTAAACCTATTTAAGCATCATACACCTTCTAACGTCTAGTCCCAAACATTTTCATTGCTTAACAGTCAACCTAACAATCATATTACAATTCACCAGTTTCTTTGTTTATTTTTTTTATTCTCTCCTTGAGTACAAACCGTCTATAGCTGTTGAAAACATCATAGGACAGCAGTAGCTTACAACAAACAAAAAACATATAGATGGTATTGGCACAAATTGTCCTGACTTCATTTAAGCCTTTTATTGATTAAGGAAAAAGAAAGAAGGGAAAACAGATCAACAAACATGGTATTGTAGTAAAAAACCAAATCAACAAACATGGTACAGTAGCAATGTGGGAGGAAGCTATATTTAGCTTTTTGCCCTTGAGTACACCAGTGATGTTTTCATATCAAGATCTGAATTGCTATACTTATGGAATATATCATAGAGTGTCCTTGAATACACAGTAAGAATTGATGAAGTTGATGAAGTTTTCATACATGCTTGGTTATGAAACAAACTGATTTCATTATTACATTTCAAAATAATCTTGGAATTAGGTACTGTCAATTTTGATAAGCTGTTTAAACTTTTAGAGCTACCAAAGTAATGCCAGGCATCTTATATATCCTCAATAAATATTAAAATATTAACTTAAATATAACTTTTAATTGATTGATATGCATTCTGGATATTTATTGTTTTCTTTTTTCAATAACTTCTACCTGCTGAAAGTGTACAATTTGAAAAGCTGTACTTGAAGTTCTTTTAAATCTATATGTTCTCTTTGCATACATTATAATTCTTATAATTTATTTGTTTAAAAAAACTAGACTGTTTGCAGATAGAGTTTACCAAAGTGTCTATTTGGCTAATGGCTCCCCTGTGATATATTTAACATGTTTTTGGTCATCCTGTAAATTAGTATTTGGTGGTGACTGTCTTATGTCACTTACTCTTTAGTGTTTACAAAATTGTAAAATTCTAATTTATTGTTCATTTTCTATTTGTTGGCTAGAATATTTTACACAGGGAAATGCTTGATCTTTTATTTGATTATTCAGTTGTATAGTTTATGTAGGAGGCAGATAAATGCTAAATCCTCTCTTTATTTACTGATTTCCAAAACAATGACTTGTTTCCCTAGATATGTGTTCCCTCTGTCTTTCTGTGTGTCCAATTTTTGTATCATTAAGAACTGAATAAAGATATTTGCTGTATTTTTATCCACTGTAATTATTATTCTTAATTATGGTTAACTATCTTTGGCCAGTGGGAGTCTTTTTTTTAATTTATTTTTTTATTCTTGTTCAAGTACAGTTGTTGCCATTTACCCACTTCCAAATTCCCCTGCCCCAACCAACCCCGCCTGCCCTCCCACCTGAATTCTCCCACACTGACTATGCCCATGGGTCTTTTATACATGTTCCTTGATTTGACACTTCCCCTTCTTTTCCCTGGTCACCGTCCCACTTCTGGTTACTGCCAGTTAGCTTTTCTTTCAATGTTGCTGGTTATATTTTGCTTGCTTGTTTGTTTTGTTGATTAGGTTCTACTTATAGGTGAGATCATATGGTATTCACCACCAGGCTTATTTTCCTTAGCATAATGATCTCTAGTTCCATCCATGCTGTCACAAAGGGTGGCAGTTCTTTCTTCCTGCTGCATAGTATTTCACTGTGTAAATGTACCATAGTTTTCTAATCTATTCATTTACTGATGGGCACTTAGGTTGCTTCCAGCACTTGGCTATTGTAAATTGTGCTGCTATGAACATTGGGTGCATAGGCTCTTTTGAATTGGAGTTTTGGGGTTCTTAGGATATAATCCCAGCACTGGAATTGCTGGGTCAAAAGGCAGTTCAATTTTTAGGTTTTTGAGGAAATTCTAAACTGTTTTCCACAAAGGCTCTACCAGTCTGCATTCCCAACAGTCTATTAGGGTTCTCTTTTCTCCACAACCTTGCCAGCACTTGTTGTTTATTGATTTGTTTATGATGGCCATTCTGACCAGTGTGAAGTGGAATCTCATTGTGGTTTTAATTTCCATTTTATGATGCCTAGTGATGCTGAGCTTTCATACGTCTCTGGGCCCTCTGTATGTCCTTGGAGAGGTGTCTGTTCTTGGCCCATTTTTTCATTGGACTGTTTGTCTTCCTGGAATGGAGTCATTGAGTTTTTATATATTTTGGAAATCAAACTCTTGTCTGAGAAATCATTGGCAAATATATTTTTCTATATGGTTGGTTCCCTTTTCATTTTGCTGATGTTTTCTTTAGCCACGCAAAAGCTTCTTATTTTGATGAAGTCCCATTTGTTTATTCTTCCGTTTATGTCCCTTGCTCTAGCAGACATATCAGTGAAAATACTGCTGCGAAGACTATCTGAGAGTTTCCTGCCTATGTTCTCCTCTAGGTCTTTTAGGGTGTCACCACTTAAAATATTTAAGTCTTTTATCCACTTGAGTTTATTTTTGTGTATGGCATAAGTTAGTGGTCAAATGTCACTTTTCTGCATGTAGCTGTCCAGCTCTCCCAACATCATTTGTAAAAGAGGCTATTTTTACTCCTTTTTATGCTTCTGCATTCTTTCTCAAGTATTAATTGACCATAGAGACATGGGTTTATGTCAGGACTGTCTATTCTGTCCCACTGATCTATGTGTCTGTTCTTATGCCAGTATGATACTGTTTTGATTAAAGTGGCTTTGTAATATAGTTTGATGTCAGGTACTGTGATCTCTCTGACTTTGCTCTTCTTTCTCAATTGCTGTGGCTATTCGGGGTGATTTATGGTTCCATATAAATTTTTAAATGTTTATTCTATATCTGTGAAATATGTCATTTGTATTTTAATCAGAATTGTGTTGAATCTATAAATTACTTTAGGTAGTATGGACATTTTGATGATGTTAATTCTTCCAATCTATGAACATGGTTCATGCTTCCATTTATTTCTGTCTTCCTTAATTTCTTTCTTCAGTTTTGTGCAGTTTTCTGCATACAGGCTTTTTACTTCCTTGGTTAAGTTCATTCCTAGATACTTTATTTTTCTTGTTGCTATAACAAATGGAATTTCGTTCCTGATTTCTGATTCTGATTTCATTGCTGGTGTATGAAAATGCCTTCGATTTCTGAATACTGATTTTGTATCCTGCTGATTTCCCAAATTCACTTATTAGGTCGAGTACCTTTTTGGTGGAGTCTATAGGGTTCTGTGTACACTATCATGTCATGTGCAAACACTGACAGTTTACCTTCTCCTCTCCAATTTGGATTCTTTTTATTTCTTTTCCTTGTCTGATTGCTGTTGCTAGGACTTCCAATACTATGTTGCATAGAAGTGATGAAAGCGGACATCCTTGTCTTGTTCCCATTCTTAGTGGGAAAGCTTTTAGTTTTTGCCCGCTGAGTATGATGCTGGCTGTAGGTTTTTAGAATATGGTCTTTATTAGGTTGAGGTATGCCCCCTTTACTCCCACTTTGTTGAGTGCTTTGATCATAAATGGATGCTGTACCTTATCAAATGCTTTTCCCACACCTATTGATATGGTTGTGTGGTTTTTGTTTTTCCTTTTGTTTATGTGATGTATTACGTTTATTGATTTGTGAATATTGAACCATCCTTCTGTCCCTGGGAAGAATCCCACTTGATCATGGTAGATGATCTTTTTAATGTGTTGCTGGGTGTGGCTCACTAATATTTTGTTGAGGATTTTAGCGTCTATGTTCATCAGCGATATTGGCTTGTAGTTTTCTTTCTTGGTTGTGCCTTTATCTGGTTTTGGGATTAGGATGATGCTGACTTCATACAAAGAGTTTGGGAGTCTTCCCTCTTTCTGAATTTTTTGGAATAGTCTGAGAAGGACATGGGTTAGCTCTTCCTTAAATGTTTTGTAAAATTCTCATGTGAAACTGTCTGGTCCAGGGCTTTTGCATGCCAGGGGTTTTTTGATTACTGCTTCAATTTCACCAGCTGTTATCAGTCTGTTCAGGATCTCTTCTTCTTCTTCATTTGGTGTTGGAAGGTTATATTTTTCTAGAAATTTGTCCATTTCACTCAGGTTTTCAAATTTCTTGGCATATAGTTGTTCGTAGCAATTTCTTACAATCCTTTCTATATCTGTGGTATCAGTTGTAATTGCATTCTGGGTATTTAAATCAAAGGTCATGATATGATCATTTAGCAGACAAAACAAATCAGATGAAAACTGAAAAGTCTCATTCAACATTATATTTATTGATGGCAATGTTAGAGGAACACTGTACTTCTAACTGATGTGCATGATAGAAAATCTGACTTGGATCTCACTCTACTCTCCGAAGATTTGGAAAAGTCCCTAAGCCAAAAACTATAAT